CTTGAAGGCTGTCCTAGTTAGCATTACTGATGCTGTGATCAACTTGGAAAGGGAAGGGTCTATTTGACTTACACTTCACGTCACTGTTCATAGTTGGGGGAAGTCAGGACAGGAACCTGAGTAGGGCAGGCACCTGGAGGTGAAGGCGGTGGAGGAGTGCTGCTTACTGGCTTGCCCTTCATGGCTGCTTAACCTACTTTCTTACAGAACCCAAGATCACCAGCCCAAAGGCTTTCAGTTATACACTTGACAATTTTTCTGTCTTTAAGACACCATAAGCATTTTTTTCATTAAAGAATGCCATTTTCAAATCTGAAAATTGTCTTTGATTTGAAATATACCATGTGAAGTGATAATGTCATTACATAAACATCACTCAGTTTCTTAGATTAGCATAATCCATGTTTTTCCTTTTACTCCTAACATTTTTGGGTCCTTGAAAGTATTTTATATGGAAGCATTTAATCAAATCCAGATTTTATTCAACCTTATAATCCATTTCTTTTATTTCAGTTTAATTCATTTTTATCTAATATATTATTGCTATGCTGGACTTGTTAACACCTTGCTATTGATTTTTTTCTTTTCTCATCTCCTCCTTTCTTGTCTTAATAAAATATTACAGGATTCACAAGGCCTGCACAAGCTTCAAGACAGACCAAATCCCAGCATAGCTGGGCAGGTGAGCAAACTGAGCAACAGGCATTTATTTGATGGCTTCTGGGAGTGATACAGACAGTCTGCTTCAGTCAGGGTTTCTATTGCTGTGACTAAACATATGACCAAAACAACTTGGGAAGGAAAGACTTTATTTGTCTTACACTTTGAGGTAACAATTCACTCCAGTTATGAGTATAATATAAGTATATTAAAATATATAGTAAATACAAATATATTTTAAAAATATAAATATGTATTAATGATTTATTTATTTTCATTTCATGTGTATTGGAGTTTTGCCTGCATGAGGGTGATGAATCCCCTGGAACTGTAGTTACAGACATTATGAGCTGCCATGTGGGTGCCCGGAATTGAACCAGGGTCCTCTGGAAGAGCAGCCAGTGCTCTTAACCACTGAACTATCTCTTCAGCCCCATTTGAAAAAATCTTTTATCTTAAGACTATTATCCCATGTACTTATTTTCATGTCAATTATAGCATCTGTAAATAATTATTAATAGGGACAAAAATGCAGCTAGGAAATTTTTAACCTAAAAAATATAATCCTAACACATTGACTCTTTTGCTGCTGTCATGAAAATAGTCCCAAAGGAAGAGAAACAGTTTGTGCATTTTCATGGACTCATAAATGCTGGAGCCGTATCACTGCCTGCCATCCGTTATCTCAAACGGAGTCCAAGTTTTTACAGTCATTTCCTAACTAATGTTAACAACCCCAGGTGTTTCCTGATTTCAGTTGCTCCGACTCTGAAAAAATGAGTAACTCAGGGAAATGTGTAAAATTCCTTCGTGAGCTTCCTTTCTGGGTATCAAGCCAATGTTTCAGCTTAGAGTGCCGGGAGATTCTGAGTTCCCATGCCTGTGTTGTCCCTGAGCTTGCCATGTCTCTTTCTTGCGATATTCACCAGCATTCTCCTGCTCCCTGTTGTGTCTTCTTATTGCTTCGTGCGTGTGCCTGTAGTTTGCCTTTGACTCACAATTGGTGAGTACGTTTGGACTCAAAGAAAACAGGATTTCAGTGCCTCCTGATGACTTGACGCGTGTCTTAATGGTTTTTAGTCTGTGGCCTGGTCTTTCTTACCCGAGGGCACATGGTGCTGAGCCTGCTGCAGTGAGGATAAGATGGGTGGAAGGAAAGAGAGGTCCCCTGAGGGAGGAATGCAGCACTTCCATAAGGCTGCCTCCTTTAAATTCACTTCAGTTTCCCACTTATGGGAAAGGAGGATTTGTCCACTTCAGCTGACGACTTTGGAGGATGCAAGCCCATGTGCTTGAATGCCATCACCTCTGGTGTTCTGAAGGATGACGTTGGCTTGTTAAACACTGTCCACAGCGCCAATTACTGGGTTATCCAACTCCCCATGCCACTCTGAAACTGTTGTCAGAAATGCCCTCCGAGTAGCTTACCAGCTTCTGGAGCTAAAATTTGGCTGCTTTCTGTGGTGGTTCTCAACCTTCCTAGTGCTGTGATCCTTTAATCCAGTTCCTCATGTTGTGGTGACCCCCAACCTTCAAGTTATTTCATTGATACTTCATAACTGTAATTTTGCTAGTGTTATGAATTATAATGTAAACAGCTGATATTCAGGATATCTAATATGCAACCCCTAGGAGATCAGGACCCACAAAAACTCGAAGAACTAAAGATTTAGTTCTGAATTTCATCTGTTTATTTAAGTTTTGTCAGTGTTTTTTTGTTTGTTTTGTTTCTGTTTATTTTGTTTTTTAGACAAGGTCTCACTGTGTAAACCAGGCTGGCCTGGAACTCACAGAGATCCACCTGCCTCTGTCTCCTGAGTGCTGGGATTAGGGGTATGCGCCACTATGACCAGCTTTGCTTGCTTTAGTGTGTTAGTGTGTGTGTGTGTGTGTGTGTGTGTGTGTGTGAGCATGCGTGTATGTGTGTGTGTGTGTGTGTGTTCTTTTTAAATGACCTAAAGGTAATTCTGGAGACCTTAGCAATCTGAGTATGATGGTGTTGGCCAGAATGGAATTAGTGATTATATGGGGAAACACAGAGTGGGCCAGGGAAAAACCACGAAGGGTGAGGGTATCAGTAGGGCAGGAGGGCATTTTCCTTTCTCAAGTTTCTCACACAAGTGACACCAGCTAAAACCTGGTTGATACTTGTAGTTAATTACCACTTGGCTTGCTAATGGATCGGAACCAAACCAGAGAAGTTAATGGGACAAGCTGACCATAGGCTGTATTAATAATAGGTTTAGAGGAAAATGATTACTATTTTAAGTCATGTGCACTTGCTTCTTTCACAAATGCCCTTTTTTATGTGCTAGGAAAAATATTGAAAATGAAGATATATACAGTAAGTTTTTAATTTTAGTTTTAAGGGGAGATTCTTGCCTTACATGACACGCTTTAATTTCCAGTTGTTGTTATACACTTGGAGACAAGAAGTTTGGGGTGACTTCATGCAATTCGTTTTGACTCCCCTACGCTATTTATCTTTTTATTGTGTATGAAATATGTTTTCTTAATTGACAAAACTATAATCAGGCCTTTATGAGTCTTTTTTCTTAATACACAGTCATAAGGTTTTCTAGAAACACATGCAGGCAATTCCAAATTTGATGTGACATTCTAATCTTGGTAGATTCAGCTGGGTGAGTTATGTCAAGAAGTAAATTGATCACCAGAGAGATTTGCATTTGTTCTCTTAGGCACATCAAATATTTAGCCTCACTTGATTTTCCTGTTACGAAACTGGCAGAAGTGTTTTATGGGGTTGCAGCTCTCGATCACTGGGCCAGGACACAGTACACAGTGTCACTGCCTTGAATGTTCTTTCTGAACTTGCTTGCATGGACTGTTCTGCTCTCCGTCTGGGGACCCGTCTTACTGGAGCTGGGTTTTAAGATGCTTCCTTCTGTGTCCTCAGAGGACGTGGAGTCAGCTTGCTCTTTCAGGACCTCTGCCTTCGAATGCTTATCCTTCACACACTCTAGCTGACTGTCGTGCTAACACATCCAAACCTCTCCGATCTCACTGTTCTGCCCAGTCTGCACTCTGGCCCAGTTCTTCCTCCGAAGTCATCCCCTGTATTGGCTGTCACATTCATAGACTTACTCAGGTGTGGGCCTTTTTACTCATTCCCTATAATATGTGCGTCATTTTGCGAGATGAGGCTACTGTCATTCTTCCATTCTGAGAAATTAATTTTACCATTTCTGTGAAGCATCTAGCATTTTCTGTTCTTTTTGGAACACTCAGAAGTAGGACACTGTGGACCCTCTTATTTAGATGCAGCTTTTCATGTTTGGAAGTTGACAGAGAGCAGCATTGCATTGACACCCCCTGTCCCCAATGCCACTGTGTCCTGCCTGTGGAGGATCTCCTTCTTTGCCTTGTACTCAGAACCAGCAGCAATTCTTCAGCCTATTATGGATTGGAATCACTCCAGCACAGGGCTCAGACACACACTGGAAAACCTGAAATGGGTGAAAACCCAGCTTAACTATGATCAAGTTCATATAAATCTTTTGACCCTGGTTTCCCTTAATGTGTAAAACACTGGTATTGTTGTCACAGGGATCAAACAAATAAAGTTTGTCAAGTGTCTTGTTGAAACCCACCATGGTATGGCAGCCAATATGATGGTCACAGTACACCACCCATCCAGCAATGGATCATACACTTTATGTGACTTGGTTTATCTTCAGAACCTTTCGAGATAAGCACACTTATTACTTGCTCATAAGCACAACAATCTAACATCTGTCTTCATTTACTTCCCAATATAATATTTCATTATATATATTTTGTGTGCTTTATAACTATTTAAATTTCATAGTCCAGTTTTAAATGTCACTTACTCTATTTTTTTTTTTGCTGTTAGTTATCTGTACTTTTAATAGCTGCATGGTAGCTCACTGAGCTGTTACTCTAGGATTTACTTATACATTCAAGTATCCCTAGATGTTTTCAGTATAAGAGCCAGCTTTGACTCCATTGGGGCTCACTGTCAGATTGCTCCCCACAGGCTCTGACATCTTAGAGTAACATGGGGCAAACTTTGGCCTGGCTGTGACATTTTCTATGTTCTCTAACTCTATTTTAAAAGTGGGATTCGTGTTGTGAGAAACTTTCCTTAAGTTTCCGTAAGTGATTCAATCAAACCAGCAGCTCATAATAAATAAATAAATAAATAAATAAATAAATAAATAAATAAAAGTGTGCTAGGATACCATACAGAGAAACTCAGTTACTGTGTGGTCAAGGAGCACTAGCAGTTACAGGAAAAGGTCCTTCAGGCTTACAAAGCCAGGGTAGCACAGATTTCAAAGTGGCCACACAGATAGGGCTGAGTTGCACTGGTTGCTTTATTACTTTATATACATGTAGTGATCTGGGTGGGAATCACAGACATCAAGGGATTCCTGATCCCCTGCCTTCCTTCTGCATCGGGGCCAGATCTGGAGAAAAACTGTTATACAGGCAAGGCTTGGGTTAGTAGACAATCCTCTTTTACAGAGACCTTAGACCTGTCTCATGTGTCCTGGAAGACACACATCTTCCTGGAGATTGACTTGAAGATGCTGGTAGGGAAAATCTTTGCTCTGCCAAGGCTGTGAACCTGGGAAGTTGGAGCTGTTGGTGGATCTCTTCACTGGTCGTTCAGAAGGAGCCTGCTACTGGTGGAGGAAATCAGGAAGGCAATACAAGAAGAAAAGGCCAACGCAGTGGTTCACGCCTCTAATCTATGTACTCTGGAGGCAGAGGAGGGTGGATCTCTGTGAGTTCGAGACCACCGCGTTGTAGTCCCCAAATAACACACAAGACGCTGTATTAATTATGAAGCTGTTGGCCTTGCTTGTTTCTTACTGGCTATCTTTGACTTAAGTATTTAACCCATCTAAGTATTTCTCTTACAGTACGGACATCTTACTTCTCTGGCGGGCTACATGATGACTACCTGTGTTTCTCCTACCCAGAATCCTCCTGGACTCCTAGTCCCACCTATCTTGCTTCCCTATTGGCCAACAGTGCTTTATTGACATACACACAGGACTTCCCCATCCCACCTCAACCCACTTTGGATGGTCTTCTGTTGCCTTCCCTCCACAGGAACAGTACAAAGATTCCCCAGCCCTTGTCCATTGCCAAAACCTTTCCCCCATGCATATGTAGCCCCAGCATCATTTGACCTGCCTGACCACTCGTCTCTGCTTGAACCCTTTTCCTGTCCACAGCACCCTCTTGCCTACCCCCTCCTTTGATGCCTGCTTCTCAGCACCCCGCCCTCTTCTGCTCCGCCTATAAATGTTGGGACTTCTGCGTAGCCCTGTCTTAGCTCTTTTTATTTCCCCTGCTACACCCTCCTTGTCTTTTTCCTCTAGCAGAACCTCACCCAGTATTCCAGCTTCCATTGCTATCTATATACCTTGGCTCCTAAATTTATGTCTTTAGCCCAGACTGTCCCTCGGAGTGCCACAATTGCCTAGCCAATTGCCCAGCTTCAGATTTCCACTTAAATGTATCAAACATACATCAAACTTGACACGCTTCAAATTGAACTTCTCATCTCCTCCCACAAATCTTTTTTCTCCAGCAATGTTTCTTAACTCCTTAATGGCTCCCCAGTGGGCCCAGCAGCTTAAGCTGAATTCTGCAAGTCATGCCAGATGCTTACCTTTCCTCATTCCCTCTGTTCAATCTAGCTCCCAAACCTGTCAATTTTCTTGCCTTAATACTTCTCCAATTAGTCTATTTATCTCCACCTCCATTAACACCAGGAAATCCCAGTCAGCAGCAACCCCCCTCACGGGATCCCTCTCCACCCAGACTTGTTCTTCCCATATATTGGCCGCGAGACCCCAAGAAATAGTTTTAAAACATAAATCTCATCTGCCCGCTCCACCCCCACCCAGGGCTTCTAAGGTTGCCCACAGGGAATGTCCACAGACTTTCTCCTGACTCCCTCCCCCAGTCTGCCGGTGAGGCCACCTTTTCAGGTTACTCTTACCTACTTGAGCCTCACCTTTCCTGTCCCCAGCCTGGCAGTCCTCTCTGTTCCCCAGATGGGTCAAACCCTACCCCGCCATGGCTTGCTCCCCGGAGGGTTCTCCCTACCTACCCACAGGGATGGCTCGCTCGCAGAGGGCACTCCACCTTGTCTTTCTCTTGCCACAGATGATGTCTCCTATTTGTTGTTTCTAGACCCTACGGGAGTAGCAGGCACATGGCTGTCCTGCCCACTGCCCACCCCAATGCCTGATAAGGTGACAAGGAATGTCTGGTGTTCCTCCGACTGGAACCCTGGGTCAGCTGTGTAGATGCTCCTTCATTTGGGGGACAGCCTTCTCATACAGCCAAAGCCGAACAGCAGCAAATCCTTCAGTGGCTCTTAAGGCAAGCCAGCTCTTTGGAGGTGCCAGGTCCAGCTCTTTGGGGGAGGTGACAGGGTTGACTCACTGGGTAGACTCGACCTCTTCACTAGGAGTTCCTCCAGCGTTTGCCAGCATACTTTACAGAGCTCTGCCTGAACTGAAGTGACCTGCTACATCCCTGCCCCTCTCCTTCAGGAAGCCTTGGTATTTCCAAGAGAGGCCCTTCCCATCGGCCTACTGTTCTTGTTTTCATCTTATAGTGTGAAGCTGTTACTGGTAAGGCCTCAGCTCACTAATGTGAAATGGCCCAGAACCCTCTCAGAAAGCCAGCCCAGGTTCTAGAAAGGGGACTAGAAAGACCAACCTGTTCCATAAGAACCAGTAGGGCGAGAATGTCATTTAGTATCTTAGGAATGGCCTAGACTTTATGGGAGACAAATTGGTTGTGGTTGGGCCTTGGGGAGCAAGCTTTGTGGTAGAATGGATTAGACCAAAAGGTTTTCCTAGGGGACAAAGCCTGCAAAAGAAACAAGATGGGTACGTTTGGGGTCTGCCTACTCCGACAGTAATAACCTCAGTGTTCCTAGAAGAGGTAGATTCAGAAGCCCCCTGTGCGTCAGGGTGGTGTTTGTGACCACTTTCTGTCCTTACGATGCAGGACCGGGTGGACCAGTAACCACCTCTCGCAGAGGAAGGGACTCATTATACCCTGGCCATGTCTGTCTCCAGCAGAACCAACCTTTCCTGATCTTTGTGCAGTGACACACCTCTCCGAGGAAGGAGGAGTACGGGATTTCCATCATTATCATTGCCCTATTAAAAAACACACAAACAAAACAATTAATTACTCTCTGCAGGAAAGGCGCATAAACAGAATGAGTCTAAACTGAACCTTGGGATGAGCCATCCTTGTAAAGAATCGGAAAAGGTACCTCCCATCATGTGCCCGCCTCTGACCAGGGCTCTAGCCACCGCCCTCAAAGGTCAGGGGCTCCAGACCACCGCTTAGGGTGGGAGGTAGGCTCTCCGCTGATGATCTTCCGCCTGCTGATCTTCCGCACCCTCCCGGCTTGCCAACTCTCTCTGGGTCTGTCTGCCACGCCTCAGGTGTTCGCTGGCGGCGGCCCAGGAATCCTTTCTTTTTGTCCAGCCTCTCACTCAGAGCAGCCCCCAGCCCGAAACGCACCTCCAACCTGGCAACCAGGAAGCAGGGATCCGGGAGCACTCAGGGTCGGGGCTGCCCGCCGGGGACGCGGACCTCCTCCACCTACCCCGTAAGGCCGGGCTGCCCGCGGCGCGTCACGCCCCCGGGGTCCGGAAGGCGCAGCAGCCCGCTCCGGGCTTCTGAGAACTTGGAGCTTGGTGGCTCGCGGCTCGGGCCGGGGTTGCGGCGACGGCTGCTTCCTGGTTCGCAGCTCGCCGAGTGGGGGAGAGCGTGAGCCCGCGGAGGCGGGGGCAGGAGGAGCGGGCGGAGGCGGGGGCAGAGACGCCAAGGCTGGAGCTAGCCGGACGGGTCGCTCCTGCTCTCCGGGGAGACGATCTGCCGAGCCCCGGAAAAGGGGCGAGCCCCGGGCAATCCAGAGAGACGGTCGGGGACCCACCAGCCCGCCGAGGGCTCGGTGCCCGGCTCCCCTCCTTTCCACCTCGGGAGAAAGGGCGGGAGGGAAGGAGGGGAGGGGAAGGTCCCTCGGAGGAGGCGGAATGGCCGGTCGCAGGGGGCTCGGGCGCTGCTTCTCCCGGGAGCTGTCTCCACGCCCGTGGCTGCGGCGAGAGCTGCCCTGAGCCCCGGCTTTCCGCTCCCCGGTGCCAGCTAGTGCGGCCCCCACGGGGACCCGGCAGCAGCGCCGGCATGTCGTCCGGCACAATGAAGTTCAATGGCTATCTGAGGGTCCGCATCGGAGAGGCTGTGGGGCTGCAGCCCACCCGCTGGTCCCTGCGGCACTCGCTCTTCAAAAAGGGCCACCAGCTCCTGGACCCCTACCTGACGGTGAGCGTGGACCAGGTGCGCGTGGGCCAGACCAGCACCAAGCAGAAGACCAACAAACCCACCTACAACGAGGAGTTCTGCGCCAATGTCACCGACGGCGGCCACCTGGAGCTAGCCGTCTTCCACGAGACACCCCTGGGCTATGACCACTTTGTGGCCAACTGCACGCTGCAGTTCCAGGAGCTGTTGCGCACGGCGGGCACCTCGGACACCTTCGAGGGCTGGGTGAGTAGCGATTGCCTCGCCCCTTCATGTCTGCGGGACCTTTCCTCCTTTTGTTTTTTAAAAACTCATCAGGGTCCTGCTTTCTCATGGCTCCTCCGCGGAGGGAATTTCCTCTAGACTTTGGTTCTCTCCCAGGGGACCTGCACTGTTGACGGGATAGCCGTGGGTGTGTGCGGGCACAGGTGTGACTCTGGGAAGCCTGCATGGCCACTGGCTTCTTTGTGGACCTGGGCTTTGCGCTTCGGGGGAGCCCCGCAGTGATGCAGAGCGCCATCCTTCTCCTCCTCTCGGAGTAGGGGGTTTAGGGATCCGAACTCTCAGTTCAGGGGTAGATACTAAAGACAGGGGTGATAAGAAAGTGAAATGGTTTGAGTAAAGTGCTTCGAGCGCTTCTTAGGAGAAAGCCATGCATTCTCGCGAGTATTATTCATAGTGTTTATGGATGCATGTTGGTTCAGCCACGCAGACGTGCACACGTGTTTCAGCATGCACATCCATTACATCCCAGAAGTACAGAAGCTACACTGGCAGTGATCAGAATGGCATGGCTTTGCACCCTGGCAGAGTTTTGTTTAGCTTTTTCCCGTGTGTGTGGGTGGGGGGGGGGGTGGGGGTGAGATTTCTCTGTGTTTGCTGTTAACTTTAATCAACCTGGGGTGCATGAGGGCTGCAATAGTGTTTCCAAACTATGCCTCTGAGGAGAGGTGGCCAGAGCACCTTGGGTTTGGCTGTCCTCCCTCTGCGATGACATGTAGCTGCGCGCAACTTCTTACATGCCGCTGCTGTTCCCACAGTTCCCTGGAGACAGAATTTCTACTGTAAGTTTCTAGAGTGCCTCACACAGTGCCAAAACGCCCTTGTTTCTTAATCCTCACCTCTCTGTCTTTGTGATGTTGGGTTATTGTACTCACTCTGAGATGCTGAGATGATAATTACAATGAAGGGGTCTGGCAAAATGTGGTATGCTGTGAAAACTCTTAAGTTTAATAATGGTCTCAGCTCTGACAGGAGTGGGTTTGGAACCCGAGGTGAATCGGTATTCAAAATCTGTTTGAAATTCACGAGAGTTGGAGCAAGATGAATAGTGACAAAGATTCATTGATATATATGGTTTTATGCTTTGGGGTGTTGTTAATATTACCATATGTTCTGTAATACCACCAAAGGCCTGAAAGGCTTCGTCTTTTAAATGGAAGGGGGGAAAACCCCGTATTTTTTAAACTTCAGTTCTCAAATGATGGGGTTAATTTCACCTCAGCCTAACTTCCTTTTTGGAATTTAGTTGTGGGCTAAATAGGATCTGATAAAATACAGTTAAAAATACTTTGCTGTTGGTTTGAGGCTGGGTCTCCCACAGTAGCCCAGGCTGGATTGGATTTGGGACAATCCATTTGCCTCTACTTCCCAAATAAGTTTATATGCTGTCTGTGAATTTCTGGATGTGGAATCGAACAGAGAATGGGAATTTTGAACTAGTGTTTGGTTAAGAGTTAGACTGGGCAAATCTCTAGAGGAATTAGGTGCTGGAGTATGGTGGTACAGGCTGGCCATCAGCCATGATGAGCATGGCTTACTGGAGACAGCCCAGGTTAGCCTGAAGGTTTGAGTCCTGTGGGAGCTTTTAAACAACTCTGCTTTTAAATGTGCTAGATAGGGATCTCTGGGAGTGGGACTCCAGTGTCAGCACTTACAGACGTCCTAGGTGGCAGAAAAAGTAGTTAAGATGGAGAACATAGAGCAGAAATGAAGGCCATGATAAAACCTTGGTGCAGGGTTAACTAACTAGGAGGAGCATAGAGCTGCTTATTGTTGCAGGGGATGAATGAAGATTTAAAAGTGAATTGAAGTTCAAAATCTATATTTGCTTAAAATCATGCCTAGACATTTAACAGGACTCACTGATGGCATTCTGGAAAACTTCATTGATAGGATAGGGCCAGCATTTAAATCATGCTAGAGCCAGTGGCTTGACATGAGTTCATGTTCACTTAGAAGGTGATATATATGTATGTTCTAAGCATTTTGAAACTTAGAATAGAATGACTAGGATATTTTCTTTTCTTGTTAAGAAAATAGATGAGGGGGCTGGAGGGATGGTTAAGAGCATTAATTGTTCTTCCAAAGGATCCGGGTTCAATTCCCAGCACCCACATGGAAGGTCACACTTGTCTGTAACTCCAGTTTTACAGGACCCAACACCCATGGCAAAACACTAATGCGCATAAAAGTAAAATATCTTTAAAGGAAAAAAGAAAATACATGCAACTATATGGAATGTATTCTTCAAAATTATTTTTTTGGACAGTAGAAATACCTACATTTGCCTAACAAATGTGTAATTTATTCACAGTTCAAGTGGGAGAATAAAAATTATTCTGGTTGCAAGTGGAACTGCAAATTACTGACCTAAAGAATTCTAGCAACTGTTGGATCATAAGAAAGGGTTGTAAGTTTATTATAAAAGTTTTTTCCATTAGAATAAACCAAGAAACCCTCTATGCTTCATTGCCCTAAATACTTTCCAAGAATCAAGAAAGCAACCAATAATACTGGCTTTATTATGGCCTTATTGGTGTTCAGTGGCAGAAGGGGAAAGCTCTACTTTAGGTAAATGTTTACCCGGTGTCTACTCCAGTGTCTGACGTGGAATAGACACATTTTTATTAACTGTATGTTCATTTCACTCAGTATATATAAGATAAATGAAAGTTGTAAGATACAAGTAAATTAAATGGAAATCAATCACATCAGACACTGAGATTAGTAAGACCTCAAATCACAGATCTGTGATTTCACCTTGAACCCAAAGAGCAAATTGAGCTACGAGTAAGGAAGTTGGTAAAGATAACTGAAATGGACCATGTAGGAGACAGGAACCCAATAAAGAAAAATGGAGTTTTTCTCTTTTTCAGTTGATAAGCCTCAAGCCAGAATGGTGAAGATGAGAGGGTATAGGATATAAGTTACCAGAATGGTGAAGATGGGAGGATATAGGATATAAATTACCACTGATCGGAATGGGAATGAGAGCATCACTACAGAGCCTACCAACATATAAAGGAAGATACATGTATGCTATAAGCAGGGTTACGCCAGTGAGCTCTACACTACCAACAAATAAGTGAAGACACATATATGCTATAAACAGGGTTACGCCAGTGAGCTCTACACCTTAGATGAAATTCACAGACTGCCTTAAAATATGCAAACTGCCCGATTCCTCTCAAATAACTTAAGTAGTTTTATAGCCATTAAACTAATTGTGTTTATAGTTAAAAGTCTTCAACAGTTCAACTCGGTGTCCCAGATGACTTTATTAATAACTTATATTATGTACTTAAGGATGCATTATTACCTGTTTTATACACTCTTTCACAAAACAGAAGGGAATGAAATGTCTTAATTCATTATTTGAAACAACATCAAAGCACAATTGAGGCATTCCAAACCAAGACAGCGGTAGGCAGGTATCATCCTTCATGACCTTAGATGCAAAAGCCTTAAACTGTAGTCAGTTGAATCAAAGACCATAGCAAGCAGATAGTACACCATAACCAAATGAAGGTTATACATAGGACTCTAAGGCTGATTTAACGTTTGTAGACCTAACTGTGCACTCCTTGTATGGACAGCGTCAAAGTGAAGGCTTGTATGATCACCTCAATAGATAGAGAAAAAGTATTTGAGAAAATGAACCATCCATTTGGGATAAAGTTTCTCAGCAAGTTAGAAACAGGAAGAAACATCTTCAACCCAATAAAGGCCATCTATGCAATCAGGCTTAGTGGTGACAGAGTGAATAATATTCCCCTTTGATCAGGAATAAGGCAAGGGCACTGCTCGTTCTGCTTTTTCCACACCGTACAAGAGTGCAATAAGGAAGTCTCAAAAAAATGTGCACAGATCACAGAGGAAGAAGTAAAGTGACCTTTATTTACAGACAAAAAAAAAGTTTGGAGGACCAACAATCAAGTTTAGCCGGTTTGCATGATCCAAACCAATTCTATTTCTATATTATTAGCAGTGAACAACTGAAATAAAAAATACCACGTGTAAGAAAATAAAAGATGAAACTGAATGAATTAGAATAGATGCAATACTTTTTCAGTGGAAATGATAAAACATTGCTGAAATAAAGATCTAAGTAAATGGAGAGTATGATGTATTCATGGCTGGGAGGAATCTGAA